CTTACCCAGGCATGGAAAATCATTTGCATTCATTTCATACATTCATTTACATTCATTTGCCTCTAACTTTTTTCATCAACAGCATTCCGCAAAATGATGTATAGAGCTTTTGTATGTTTTGTTATTAGCTACAAGTTTTGGTCATAACTCAAATCTGTATCTCTTATGCATCACGAACTAGAGCGGGCAGAACTTGTTACTGTTTTTCAGTGAATGTAAAATACATTCACTGAAAAACAGTAGTGGCTTCTGTTCGCTCTGATTCGACATGCATAAGAGATACGGATTTGACTTGTTAACAAAAGTTGTAGATAATGACAAAACCTACATCTATACATCATTTTGCGGAATGCTGTTGAAAAAATAAGTTAGAGGCAAATGAATGTAAATGAATGCACGAAATTAATGCAAATGATTTCCCATGCCTGGACTTACCAAATTAATCGAACATCGATGTCCTATGGTGTGGATTTATACACTATCCGTGGTAGGTTTTTTTTTCAGGCCTTCTATTAAAACTGAGTGGGTGTAAGGGGTGTAGGTGATTAACATCACTATTTCAAAATAAAATGAACCGTACACACTTCTAAACATCTCCCTCGCCCGCTTAAAATATATATTTTTATAGACGCAATTTATGGACAAGCCCATAATGTAAATGGGTTATTATTACTAAAAATTTTGCTGAAAGTATCGCAAATTGCCTTTCCTTCTAACGCCCTCAACTTAAACTAAAAAAATCACATACATAATCCGTAATAATCGAAATTCATAAAAATCAGCTGATTAATAAACATCTCTTTCCTCTCATGTTGGCACTTGTTAGCCACAGGTTTATCCCCCTTTCAGCTGAAAAAATAATATTGTGTAGGAATAATATTTATAAACAAACACTATAAATTCCTTCACAAAAATAACAAAAACGATTTCATTTCGAAAAGAACATCCAATTATGAGATTATCCCCCCTATTCTGCGAGTCACGTGACTCTCTCTCTCACCGGTGAGGTGACAATAGTCACCTCGTGTGAGGTGACTCTCCATTTGATTTACATGGAGAGTCACCTCACACGAGGTGACAATTGTCACTTCACCGGTGAGAGAGAGTCACGTGACTCACAGAATAAGGGGGTATGATCAACCTCAAGCCTCTTTCTTTAGTATGCCCTAGGTGTACCAGTCACGGCTACACATTCCGCCATGGTGCATGAAGTAGTTCGTCTCCTCGTGGTGTGCCCTGGAAACGTTAATTATCGAACCCAAGGGAGAAATATTGCGGCTAAACGAACTACACCAGAGTAAGGACGCTGGAGCCCCATCCAGCTCGTCCCAGGAGGTCGATAAGCCCTGCACAAACCCTCGTTGTGAAAAGGCAGAAGTGACACCGAATTCTTAGAGTGTAGACGACTCTAACCAAGTCGCAGCACACGCAGCCGGTAAGCGGTCACATCTTTCCTGTCCTGCCGTGGACAGTTGGCTGGCTATCACGTCTGCTCTAGAACTCAGGCGAACAATTAACAACGAACAATAAGAGGAAGGCTCTGCACAGCTGCTCACTGTGCAGTAGCTAGTGTCACGTCTGTGACACACCACTAGTGTGATGCGCCATAGCGCAACCGGCCGCCTCCCATGATGTAATGCTTTCGGGCGGTTCCGGGGAGGGCAAGGGCCAAGAGCACAGGGTAAGGTTTAGTGGGTCGGGAGCGCTACTTCTCCCATCCCCATACCCTGAGTTATCTTCTCAGGTGTCTGGGAGTAGATTCCCCACTGAATAAAAAAAAAAAAAAAAAAAAACACTCTGCTATATTGTGCCCCCATCATGGCTTATGGAAATTCCAAGGTGACTACATAATGTGCCAAATCCATGCTTCAGCCATCATGTTGAATTTTCGAATAGGGGAGCGACCGAGTTTGTTTACAATTTGCCCTAAAACTGCACTTTTCGTCCCGCGATCTCCTCGCCCTTATAGCTGTATCACCTTGGAAAATTCCATAGACCATAAAACACTACAATAGGAACCCACAGCCATCAATTAACACACTGCGTAATTCAATTTTAAGCTTTAATATAGAGATTTTTAGCCATAGGCTAGTCTAGCAAAACGTTCAATATGCACGTGAAGTGAAAAGAGCGACGCATAGAGCAAAGATCAAATGCTCTTGTATGAAAAGAACGATAGCATCTCTTTCCCATCCTAAACTGTTTTATGACCACTCTACATCTTCTCTCAGTTAAATCTAGAACTAATTGTTTACACATTTAGCAGATCAAAGCCTATTTTTTTATATTAGTGTCATTTTAATACTCTTGGGTCATTCGTGACCTCTCCGGGGATGAGATTTGAACTAGTAACTTTGTCGTGAGAGGTATGGATGTTAACTACCACGCCAGTGCCGTCCCCCAAGAAAAACTAGTTAAATGTCACCACTTATATTTTCTGAATCTTAAGTAATCATGAACCAACCGTGTGGTTCTTTTCTTCATTATGAGGCACTTTCAGGATACAAATAATAAAGCGTTTTTTTTTTCATTTTATATTGATTTAATAATTTTTATAAAAATCAGATTCTAAACAATAATAATAATTTATGGAGTTGGATGATTATTAATAAATTGAATATGTTTTGATATTGTTTGCTTCTATACCGATAATGAAGAAGCCAATAAATTGTTAAGTTGGGTTTATATCCTAATCCTACAGTAAAGAATTTAGCATAACACAGAGAGGTTTACTTGTATGAAGTGCAATAACTCGTATCATTCTGCTTATACTCTAACATCATCACCCTATTGCTGTCGATATTACGGGGTTTTCATAAAATGCAAGACCGGTTCTTAAATTGCCGTTGAAACAGCTTAGTGACCGAGGAAAACTGAACTAAAATTTAAGTTGATCTCATTGGTCGTGAGAGTAAAATTGCATTTTTCCTCTTTTTCTCCCACGGAAATATCACACAATTATCAAAAAAAAAACTGGAGTTACACAGAGCTGTGATAATTGAGCGATATTTTCGTGAGGGAAAAAGAGGATAAATACAATTTTACTTTCACGGCCAATGAGATCAACTCAAATTTTAGTTCAGTTTACTAATAAATCGCAAAAAGTACAGGAACTCAGCGATGAGTAAATTTTCCTGCGGAGAACCCTAAAAACTCTGTCGGAAAATAAGGAAAATTGACGAAAATTTGACTCAGTCTAGGCGTAGTTCCAACACACTGAGAGAATCCAATCTTTACTTTTCTCATATTCTGGATTTTGTTTCCTGGAAAATCCTGGAAAAACATGAGGCAAATTTACTCATCAATGAGTTCCTGCACTTTTTGCGATTTGAGTAAACTGAACTCAAATTTGAGTTGATCTCATTAGCCGTGCAGTCACTGAGTTAGAATGAAAGGCCATGTACACGGTCGGATGAGATCGTTCGAAATTAAGTGGCTTTTCAATTAAAATCGCTAAAACTGTCATGCACTGAGCACGCTTTTAGAAATGTTTCCATACGAATGAGTAAAAGTGGCTCACTCTCTGAGTTTTAGATTCGTTTTCAGTGACAGTAGACAGTAGATACAAAAATTTTCCTAGCTTTTCCTCAAAAATCTGCTGGAATTTCAAGAAAATCGACGAAATTTTGTCTCAGTCTAGGAGTAGACCACTCTTCAGTGGAGCCCCTTTCGATTTTCCTCATATTCGAAAAGTTTTTCCAAGAAAATCGAGGAAAATTTTAGTCAGTCTATGAGCAACTTACGTTTTTACGGATTTGAGAGAACGAAAATCAAATTTGAGTTGTTTTAATCGGCCGTGTATGAGTGAAGCTTTATGGTGGACAAATTGAAAGATTTGTTGATAGATGGCGCACCGAGCGCTTGAAGGAAATATTCATCGAAAAAAGATACACTGATAACAAAACTCATCAGAGAGTGAGTTTCTTCGCTTTTACTAAGTAGTATGGAGAAATTTCTAAAAGCGTATCGTTTTTAGAAATTTATCCATACAACTGAGTAAAAGCGAAGAGACTCACTCTTTGAGTTGTTTTGTTTTCAGTATAACCAGATTTTAAACATTGTGGCAAAATAATACTACGGTTATTCACAAAGCGCATCGTTAACTCCATTCAATTTAAAAGAACTCTGGTATTTTTACTATAAAGTGTATAATTACGATGCTGTATGTGATAACCCCTAGTTTATGTTATTGTAGAACACTGTAAAACCTTCCGCCAGTCAATCTGGAAACATTATTCGCGGAATGCCGTGTCCGAAGTGCGGATTTGTCAATTTTCATGTACAACCGATTTTTATTCGCCAAATGTTAGTTTGGGTGCTAACATCCCTACATCGGTTGGTTAGAAAATTATGATAAAATTGTATAATTCAAATTTCCCCTACTGAATATTTTAAAGAGAACCGATTTAGGAATGTGAGGACCTAAACTAACTTTTGGCGAAGAAAAACCAGATACACATGAAAATTGATAAATCCACCATTTCTGACACGGCGTGTGGCGCCCATGCTGCATCGATTTATTCACGATTTTTAAAAAGATGAATATTCAGAGAGGTTTTAAAGATTTGAAAAAAATATAGTTTTAGTAGGAAATTAAGCGAAAATGAAATCAATTGCCCATTTGAACAATTACAGACATATCATTTACAATGCATAAAATTATTTCTCCAGCCAACTCTTTTAAATTCAGAATAAGAATGTATGCTGTATCTTTGCTGTATGTTTTACAATTAAGTTCGTAGTAACATAAAATCTGTATGAATGGGAATTTGAATAAAGCAACACATTATTGTTGTCGTAGTTGATGGTATACAGAAGAAAAAATAATTATAATGTATCCTTCATTTTTTCTACGTGGAATTAATTAAAAAAAATTATTTCAAAACATCGATGTACGTAATGTCCATTAATAAATCTGTACATTTTCTAGCTAGTCTGATCTTTCGTTTCCCCTACTATTCATCACATCAATCTCAGCCTATTTAAATGACTTCTGGATACAATCGCTTTCCTGAGTTTCCAGCAAATTTGCCAACAAGAATTTATCTCAAATGAACTGGAAGGTTTCAGTTTCCATTAGAATGTGTTTGCTTCAGGAAACGTCTAGTGTTTGTGAAGAAAATTGCTATTTCTCTGTGCTTGAACTGATTTTCGTTTCTTTTGACACTATGACTAATTCTATCGGGAGATGGCCACAGGTCGAGCAACGGATTCTGGACAATAAAGCATGGATCATGATCATTTCGCTGCTACCGGAAGCCATCTAGTGATGTTCTTAAGATAGTCCTTCAGCAGATTATTCAATCGAAATACGTGTGAAAAGCAGTCCTCGTTTATGTAACCAGGCGCTGAAAGTAGATTATCTGTTAGTCTAATGGCCATATAATGCATGCAATGCAATTTCGCAAACAAACCCAATTCCGGCACCCAGCAGCAACGATAATACATTGGTCAGTACAAGTGAATACAAAACTTCTCTAGAGAAGAGTGAATTTTTGCCTACTCGAGTCAGCCGCATGGAATATCCTTGTTGCCCACGTCGAACACCTTGTTTGGGATGTTCAAACTTCCAGTCTCTGCAAAGATCGATATTATTTTATAACTAAAGCAAAACATATTCTGAAAACAATAAATAAACTCACTTTGGAGGCAGCTGGTCCGGCCGACTGCTCCATTCCCATACCCAGTCATTATCCTTTTGAGCGGTAGCAGCTCCTTCCTATAAAAAAGAAGAAATATTAATTAAACAGTTTCGGATTTTTGCTATGTACCTATTTGAAAATTAAACATGTTGATTAAAGTAACAGTAATGCCCGATAACAAATTCAGCCCGGACCAGTTAATGTGGTTTTCGCAAGAATTCTGTGCCATTTTCCGAGTAATATTTGATGAGAGACTTAAGAGACACAATATGACTTTCTCGTAAATGATCATTAATTCCATATCAGCAGGATTCAATCTATTCCACAGTGTTTAACATATGGTTATAAATTGAAATTTTGTGCTATTCTAAAAACCTTTATCAAAATATTTACTACACTATACACCATTAGCAATGTAACTCAATTGATTCTTCAAAATGCTAGCAAAATTATTGAGATTTATTCATATTGGTTCATCATATCTAATGTATCCAAAATGCAACAGAAGCAAGATTCATTGTAACAAAAGTTGCATCTTTTAAAACAACGCTATGGAATATTCCATTTGTTTACTTTCCAGTCTGGCTGCAAAAACCACTTGTTTAAAATTAGTCCCTCTCACGATATCAGAATTATTTCTGAACATTGACCTTCTGTTTTTCTTTTCAAGAAGGTTTAATCTTTCCGCATTGTGATTACCTCGAACTGGCACATTTCACAAAGCCTCAGTCCAGCGATGGACAAAACAGCTGATTGTGTTATCGTATCAAACCACACATATACACTACATATGGCCATCATTACTATGACTATTATTATCATTTATATTGCTATTACTATGGTTTTCTTCATTCGCGCTTCATGCTCCTCAATCTGCTTCGCGCAGGCTTCCAACTTCAGAAGCAAATATGAAGTGAATGCACGGCGTATCAGGTCTCCATTTGGTATGACGTCGACCTAGCAAGCAATACAAAAAGAAAATCATTATCAATGACAATTCACCATTAGCCTCATTTCGGTTCAATACCGGCACCATAGGTGACAGTTGCTGCAACGGACGTGAACAACAAAAACATTTCATGCACTGTATCATATTTTGTACTCAGAGGTATTCAATCTTCAAACCATTGACGAGGACAGCTAAATTAAAATGATAAGCTCTCATTTGCACATTTCGGCATTATAGATTGTGAAAGTAAAATAAGAATACAGGCATAGCGTAAGGTTCGAGATTTTGAGCAGAATGTACTCCATTTTTGATGTTTATAGTAAATAAATGCATTTTAGACATTTGTGCATGATTACATGGGTTTGGGACACGACTTGAAATTTTGCCCCACTGTAGGTAATTCGAGCTTCCTGGTGACATAGACATATGTAGAAAAGTGCTATAACAATGAGTTTTATTTTGCACAGGTGTCAAGAACCTCAAAACGAACTTTTGCTCCACCTTACTCTACAGATTCTGTCAGCAAACAATTCGAAATACAAATAAAGTAAATAATTGCTCATTAAAAAGTATAAACAACCGGTGGAAACTAACGATTTTTAAATTGGCTCACTACTTGACTAGCCTATTGGTCCCAAGTACATCTATAAGCGTACCCCATTCTAGTCGAAATTCTGTGAAAATTTGCGGATGTAAAGATTTCGTCTTCTTTAAGTAACTATGCAGACTTCCACTTGAAAAGAGGTGAACTTTTGCAAACATTATTTACAGCAAATTATAACTCAAAAATGATAAGAAAGGGTGATACCCGTTCACCGCTCACTTTAGAGCAAAATTAAGTTTAAAGTGTTGGGGGTGACCTTGGCGTAGTGGTTAGCATCCATACCTCTCACGCCAAAGTCACGAGTTCAAATCTCACCCCCGGACAAGTCACGAATGACCCAAGAGCTTTAAAGTGACTATAGAAAAAAAAAAAGTTTAAAGTGTTAGTATAATAATTTGCATTGGTAGGGAAAATGGATGTAATGTCGGCCTAAATGCTCCTAATTTGGGCCCATACATAAATTCAGCAATCGACTAAATGCTCAATAGCGACCAAAAATATCCATTAGAACCGTCCCATAGATAGAATTGATAAATAGCAGATTTTTAGCGATGGGCCCAATCTTAGAACCATAGGTCAACATTAGAGCCATTTACCCTATATATTGTTACTGTTATTGCTCAGCTCACACCCTGACCGACTATCATCCGCCCATCTGCACTTAAGCTAGGTATGAACCTACGGACATTTTGGTCGTGGCCTATGCTAGACCGTTTAGCATAACGACTTTCTTCCACCAGCAGGCCTGTTGCTCCCGTAGGCAGTCACACTAGCTTCAGATTCGTACACGGAGATGAAAAACTACTCAAAATTAAGTACTTTTCCCTCAATTCCTGGGTTCAGTCCAAAAAGCAAAACTTGCCATAACAAAATGGGCGATTCATTTTAGTAAACAAACTAACACTTCTTCCGACTGTGGCACCTCTCTTACTCGCCTGGGACTTGTTGTGCTGCATCCAGGCGAGTAAGAGAGGTGCCACAGTCGGAAGAAGTGTTAGTTTGTTTACTAAAATGAATCGCCCATTTTGTTATGGCAAGTTTTGCTATAAGAAATGCTCCTCGTGTTTATTAGCGAAATTCACATCAAAGATTGATTAATTGCGTAGGAAATCAGTTTGGCACGGCATTTGTAACCAGCATACACCTTCCGGTCGTATGAAACAGGTCAAAAACTGTTAAAATCCGCAGATAAAAAATTTTGTTTTGAATTTCTGTATGGCAAGGGGTGCCAGAGGTGCAGGGGGTCAACATGAGAAACCTCCATTCTGAGCGGTTGCTTGACCTGGGCCCAGGTCAAATTCCTATTGGCTTGCTTGATTTCCTTGTTGGGGTTTTGCTGCCATAAGCCCCAGTGCCTTTGCTGTAACGTACTGATGAATTTGATTCACATGCTTCACACCCGTCAAACCCGTCAATCCCGCCTTCTGAGTGTCACACTCAGAGATTCTACGATTGGTGAGCGCTAACTCAGAGTGAGCGCTCGCGAGTCGCAAAATCGCTGACTGCGACTATCCGAAAGCGAATCGGATAGGTCCCATGTGTCAAAAACCCGGCTTTCAACCTGTTTTTGTATCCAGCAAGCACAAAACATCATTATAACATCTAACCATTTCAAAACTCAGAAAACCACCCTTTTATAGCAAATGAGTGGAAGCAAGCCTGGTTACTTATTTGGGTCATGGTGTTGTGTTCCCTATTTATTTGCCTCTATTTCGCTCTCAGATCGCAACGTTTAACTCACCCACTTCCCTCACACTATTATGGTCGGAAAAGAGAACCCATATTTAGTAATCTCTCGCGAACTGCGATGCAGAAGATATTAATAGCAAACTAATCTGGAACTGGTCTAAGACATATAGCCCAGTGAGTATTGACACATCACAATGTTGTGATGGAGCACGGACGTGCAATAAAATAAAACTTGACAAAACATCGTCAATCTCTTATTCTTGGGCAGGGCCTGACGATGTGAATCTGATTTTGATCAGTGAACGGATCCCATATGGTACATTTTCTCACTATGAACCTATCATTTCTAGCTCATCTGAACTATTCAATAAATGGAAACCATAACATGGGTTACGCTCCCTAAGCGGGCCCTCCGCATCCTATCTCTGTCTTATCTTAAATGCCAATGGTTTGAGTGTATCAATATATACATTGGAAATGACGTTCAATCAAATAAACCCATACCCCACTCACTTGGCCAGGCTTCAGAATCGTCCAGTGGGCAGTACGCTCTACACTCCAAGTTCCCTTTCTTTCAAATTCACCCGAAATTTTATATTTTACCCCTTTGAGTGTTGATTGATCACAATGAAACATTGTGACAGAGCACGGACTTGAGGTTACTAGAGTATTAAATAATCTAGATCCTATTTAGGATTATATCTGAAAAATCCAAATTTGGCCAACGCCCATCAACATTAGAGCCATTTCCCCTATACAGAGAATATTTTTACTCGCGTAGAATATGGATTTAAGATTGGACCCATCGTTAGAAATCTTCTATTTGTCAATTTCATCTAGATGAACGCGTCATTGGGACGATACTAATGGATATTTTGGTCGCTATTGAAAATGTAGTCGATTGCTGAATTGACCGACATTACATCCATTAATCCCCTATTTTTCTATCCCAGAATAAGGAAAAGGAAGTCGATAAGTGTTTCAGCTCTGAAAAGTACAAGTCGGTTTACATAGACCGGTAGAGCAAAGTACATAAAATGGAGGAAAAAGTACAAATAGTTAACAGGTTAACAGAATTCGAATAAAAAATATAGAAACATATTTTGAGATTGCATTCTAATTGCCGCATATTTCCCGGTTGGTTTCGATTCCCGGTTTCTCGGTTGAGTGGCCGCCCTGCAGATGAATTTCACCCAGTACCCTCTAAAATTTAAATAAAACATTACTGCTGCGAAAATTTTGACTATGAATTTTTCAGTGCAGTTGTGAAAAAGTTGTTGGTAGATGTTTTTTTTCTATAGGGCTACATTAGGGGTTAGTAATAACTAATAATGATGTTAAAAGAATAAACTTACAATGGCATTATCACGTTAAAATAGTCTTAAAACGCGTCAACAGTATTAAAAAGTCGATTTACCAACGTCAAAAAACCAGAACGGCTTTATGCAAATTTTTATAGCTCTTACGCTTGATGAATTATAGAAATAAGTCGTCAAAATTGCCATTAAAAACCTTAATGGAGTCCCTATAATCACGCTAAAATAACTTAATATGGGACGGGACCGGCGTAGAGGTGAACATCCTTATATTTCACGCCAAAATCACGACTTCAAATCTCATCCCCAGAAAATCACCCAATAGTGTTAAAGTGACTATAAAAAACATCCGTGCCCTAAGGAACAACAACCCAGAATGTATCGGAATTAGCTGACTCCAAAAAAAGCATTCCTGTGTCTCCATTTGTTCCGTTGCCGTGTTAGCTCTAATCAGCTTTGTTGGGAATGGTAATATATTCCATTCGTTTGCAGAACCATTCAAGGCTACGACGAATACGCGTGCGGAATAGCAAAACACAACCACGCGCTTACCCTATTGAGATAGTTGATGTAGACACCTCTAAGCTCTTCTTCGGTGGTGGCAAGCTCGGTATTAGGGCTGTTGGGTGGCGATTTCGGGCTTCCACGAGGTGAATCCCTCCGCGAACTAGTCAATGACGCAACTCGGCTTGATTCTTTCGACTCTCGCTGAGCCTCGCGTAGCAGTCTCAGATACTCTTCCACCGAGGTAAACGGTAACGGAGTCGTCCGATCGGGGCTCTTGGGACATGTGTTTGTGCTAGATGATAGTTCGATCCATGATTCTGCAACAAAAAAAAGAAAAATGGAAGGTGGACAATGAGAAAAACAAATTAGAATATTGAAAGCTTCCTGCTGGAATGGAAATAAAAAATGAGACGATCGATGTTTCCGGTGGTTAACCATAAAAATTTGCTTTCGATTATTTCAATATACAGAGCGACCTCGAAACAACATGTAAATCTGGGGATTTGGTTATTTTTCAAGTTCATATTGTGTAATCGTTCTCCACCATTCACAGTATCCTATTCATCGTCATTCGATTCTTGAGCCGCAACTTCACTGATATCACTACATAGTTTGTTTACAGTAATAGCAAGGTTGAAATGCCGGTATGGGAACTTGATACCGGATAAATTATGACTTGTAGAGAGTTAGTTAACATTTTGTCGCCGGTGCTTGCACTGATGCACCTGCTGTATGTATACTGGACAGTCTGGTGAGCTGCTCATGAACTCACGTAGCTACCTATCTACAGACGCGATCAAATGCGGTGTTGCGCAGTTTACGTGTTATTTCATTTGCATACCTGTCGCAGCATTTTACTGCTCCACGTAAGTGTACTGCTTCCTCATACGCAATGAAAATGTATTTTTAGAAAAAAGTTTGTTTACATTACCATGCATACCAAAGATTACTGAAAGGCACGCTTAAAGTATAGAACTTTGATTCCGGTTAATTCCTTAGTATTCCGGTCATTTGGGCTTACGATGGAGCGTCACTTTGAAAGATGAATCAAAATTGTTTAAAAAAAGTCCGCTATTGCCAGCAACTACGCTTGGCATGCACAGTTTTGCGCACAAATGGCTTATTTGTAAATAACTTTGCACTTAGTTGACGAAACAGTTTTTTTTTCTTGAAATAATCATGTAGCGTTAGAAATTGCAATCGATAAGTAAAAAAACAATCAATTTTGGGTATAGCAGAGTGGCCAGTGAATTTTCATTTTCAAATTCTCAGTGTTTCCGGATTTCCCCGGTTAAAATATAAACAATATCCCACTTGTCAATAGTTAGCAAAAACCGAAAGTGTTTAACTGATGCAAAATCACGATTCGAGATACACTCAGGTATTTTTTTCCCCCGGGGATATGTATCGTGTAAAAAAACCTACCAAGATTTTGTTTTTTCACATGCTTTAATGTTTTTGAAAATGGGATTTTGATGCCATTTGTAATTAAATCATGCTATGGTCCATATAGAGATATTTAAAAGAATTCTGTATCTACACCAAAAGTTGTGATTTTTCTTTTAAGTATGCCATTAGATTACATTTAGCTTGAAACGGATAATGTGATTAGAATCAAGTTGATAGGTTGTATCGTTATCGAGAAATCGTTAAAAACATACCGTGTAAATCGCGAAAAACCGTGTAAAAAACGTGTAAAAAACCACGTAAAAAACCGTGTAAAAACACTTCAGTGTACTTCAAATCAATTTGACTGTTTTTTTAAGCCAAACATTATCGAACTGCATGCGGACGATTAAATTAGCAAATTGTTTTATGGACGATTAAATGAGGAAAAACTTTATACGAAAATTTTTGACCATGAAAATGTTTTAACACACCTTGATCTGTACTAAAAGAAATCTTTCAAAAATCGAGAAAATTTCCAAGATTCTGAGACTTTCACATTTGTGTAGAATCTTTGACTAGGACATTTTTCTCGAGACTTGTGACCTTTAAAAACAATCGTGATCCAAGATTCGGACGGAAAAAATATCGAATTGGAATTTTGTTTAACAATCTGAGACTGAAAAAAATACTCAAAACGCGGAATTTTGAAAACACAAATCCAAGATTTGGAAGAAAATAAATTTTAATACTTTCAAAAATTTTTAGGGTTCTAATAATGTGAAGAATTTGTATGCATAAATTTTAAAATTAAAAGTAAATCCTGAATTGCTTCTAAAAACAATTAGAAAAACTCAAAAATTCAAAGGAATTCTTAACAAGAATCCCAAAATAATTCTGAGATTAAGCCTTAAGAAACTGTTGGAAGAATCCCATGAAAGTTGTGAGGAGAATATCAAAGATAATTCCTATGTGATTCTGAGGAGAACTATATGGGGATTGTGAGGAGAACAGCAGATGAATTTTAGAGAGGATTTCAAGAGAAACTCAATTGGAATTTATAAAGTGTTCTGAGGATAATTTAAAATCACGCTTACCACTACACCACCGGCACCGCTTTTGGGATGATTTAAAAAAAAAACAAAATCAAGGAAGCTCTGAAAAAAATACTAAAAGAATCATGTTCTAAGGTTAAATAAAAAAAGCATGGGATTTTAAAAGAATTTTTAAAATATTGAGAAGAGAATTCCAAGGTTTTTTGAGAAAAATTTCGAATGATATCTGAGGAAAGTTTTGGGTAAAATTCAAAGAAATTTAAAAAAATCCAAAGAATATTATTTTTAGGATAGTTTCAAAGGAAATTTTTAGAAGAGTTTCAAAGGAATTCGAGGGTAATAACGAGGGGAGTTTCCCAGGGAATTTTCCGGTATGTTTAAGGAGAATTTCATAATAATTATGAGTAGAATTTAATTGCTACTATGGGATAAATACTATGGAAACTCTGAAAAAAAATGCATGGTAATTTTGGTTTTGAACCGTTAAAACCCATCTCGAAAATTGTTGAATTACGGTCCAGATTTCACACATGTTTTTTTCCAAAGTCCGGTTTTATGATTAGTTTCAGGTTACTCACAGTACATCTTGGTTGGAGCAAGGAAGACAATTTATACTATTTCTGAGTAATTTAATCCTAAAAAACCAATAACTGATGGAAATTATGCATCAAAAGGGCAAGTCTTTCTTTTGATAAAGACTCGCTCTGTTTGACGGATTGGTTCTGAAACCCTGGCGTAAACATTTATTTGAATATGTTAAATAGAGCTGTAAGGTATTTTAAAGGTTCTGCTACATTGATGGATAAATTAAGGGGGATTTCCGGTTCAATTGACCTAAACTTTGGATTTTTTTTTCCAGGGAACTGGTAAGAGTTAGAGACCTGAGTTTTTTGTCAAATCTTTATTCATTCTTGCTCTACAACTGGGAATTTTTTCAAGTCAAAAAATCCAAAATGGCGTCCAATGTGGCGGCTGCCCGGCGGGTACTTCCCAAAACTGCGAGCAGCCTAGAGGTCGCAAATCGTCACCTAGAAAGAAAATCGGCTCAGTTTCTTGAAGAGTATAGTTCAGAGAATGGAATGAACTATAATCTCAAGATTTGACAAAATGGCGGGCATTTGAAAAAAGTCGTTTTTTTCGGTCGATTTTTTGACTTTGACAGGCTGTGAAAAATCGAAAATTGCACATTTCTCCTTGAGTCTATAGTTCATTCCATGAAGAAAAGTGTTTTCAATAAGGGAAGCAAAGAACGAAGTCAATTGGTTGAACCTGTAGTTTCGAGAAAAACGCGTTTAAAGTTTGCGAAACATTTTTTCTTATACCTGCGCGATCCATACCGCTCGGGAGGTCGATGCACTCAAAGGCCTGTAGCGACGTAAATATTTGCCGGATCGAAATATCCTTTTACCCACATATTCTAGATGTGTTTAGCTTTGATTTCATGCAAAAAAAATCGATTTTTTGAAAATATTGAACCGGAAATCCCCCTTAATCATTAAAATATTTCGAAATTATATGCTGCTCATCTCTGACTTTTAACGACAAAACTCGTTGGTTTCTACACTCAAAAAATTTCACACGTTTGATCGAAGTGTTTAAACACTTGATTTTTTAAATGCAGAATCACATGTACTTTAAGTGTATTTCACCTTGGTTCGATGTGTTATACACGTTAATTTAGAGTGTTTCAAACTTTGAAATATTGAAAAATTTTCACTTTCTATTCAAGTGTATTGCACATTGAATCACGCTACTGTTCAAAACAGATGGATTTAAAGTGTTTTGCATTTCAATACGATGTGAATTGCTTGCTCAGAAAGGTAAACATCGAAAACAAGAGTTGTGACTTTATCCTATTAACCCGCCTCATATATGAGAGCAACCCTGGCACAGTGAGATAGAACGAATACTCCGGCAGCAGCTTACCCCAACAGTCCATGATCGAATCCCAAATCAGACCCATTAAAAAGATATGTGAAAGCTCTGGCCTCTGGCAGTTTTGATTATAATTTGTCGTTTCAATTTTTAGAGTCGGTAAAGTAGAAGTCGATAAAGTAGAATATTGTAGAATATTGAACTATGGTGTGCAAAGCTATTGATATCACCATATGAGACACATAGAATCCAAGTGTGTCAAAATTCAAATCCATAGTGTTTAGGCATGGTTCATAGCATAAGATTCACACATGAAATGGATGTGTTTCACAATAAGCGCAAAATTAAGTGTGAGACACATGATGATGCGTGTGGAATTTTTTGAGTGTACTTGATTATTTCAAATCACTGGTGCAGCACAGAAAAAAAAATCTGAATTTTAACTATCGCGTAAAATCTCCCTGCGTATAATTTTGAGCTATACTTGACATAAACAGCGAAATCGTTTAGAAGCTTGCATACAAGATTGCTAATTTATACAATATTGCTCTTAAATTTACACGAATAATCTTGTAAATTCATGCCAAATCTAGCGTTAATTTTATGTGCGCTATATCTCGCAGAAATTTACATGAATTTTTCGACCGGTGAGTGACGGTTTAGGTTTAGGCGCTTTTTCGTCACTCCTGCGTATGCGCTAGCTTCGAAACTGCTGTCACTTTCAGCTTCGTCCTGGTCGCGCTTTTCTTCTTTTTTTTTTTTTTTTTTTGATTATAGTCACTTTAACACTCTTGGGTCATTCGTGACTTGTCCGGGGGTGAGATTTGAACTCGTGACTTTGGCGTGAGAGGAATGGATGTTAACCACTACGCCGGGGTCGCCCCGCGCTTTTCTTCATTTTGCTTCCGTTCTTCGTTGTTGCTTCTCTGGCTGCTTGCGGGGCAGGAATTCAAACACCGGAATATACCGATTTCCTCTAAAAGTTTCTCCAAAAAATACTATGAAGCACAGTGGCGTCGCGTCCACATGTGCAACCTGTGCACGACACAGGCGTAAATAATTTAAAAAAAAATGCGTTTAGATTTTTATAGATTTCACTCCAGGCCACAAGTGACCATGAATAAACTGTTTTATAGT